TACTTGTAAGAAAAATAAGGTAAATAATAATAAGGAGAATAAGGTAAATACGAACGTCAACAAATAGAAGAAGAGAAAGATCAAAAAAGAAGTGGCTGGATCAAATAAAAGAATATGGACGAAAAAGGGGAAAAAGAAATAAAATTAGCAAAGAATAGAAGAAAGTGATAAAGATTGATAAATGATAAACCAGAATTACACCCTGACATCTGAAACGGTATGAGTAACAAGAAGATTTTTAAGATCTTAAATGTGATGTTTACCTTTAATATTTTCGTTTAGTTGTTCGTTTTATTTTTATGTATCAAAGTATGTCTGTGGTATAATATACTTCATCTGAAATAACGTCAACTAGCAAGATGAAAAAGTTAATAAAATTCCTATTATTCCACAAAGCTGTAGACCCCACCAAAATCTAAAATTTTGAGTTCAACTCCTCCTCCTCAGTCCTAATCCCTTTTGGGATGTGGTGACACCATCAGGCCTTCACAGTTTTTTAGGATTTCCCTCCATCCTTCTCTGTCCTTGGCTAGTTATTCGGCTTCATGTAACCCTTATTGATTAACCAAGGATGTGTATTATATATATATATATATATATATATATATATATATATATATATATATATATATATATATATATATATATATATATATACAGTGCTTTTCAGATAAAACTTTCTACCTTAAATAACTTTTGAACCTCTAATTTTTTGGAAAAACGCAAAAACACTTTAATTAATATCTGAAGGGGGAGGCATAATATCATATTTAATGTTGCTGGAAAATGCACCCTCTCTCCCCCTGTATCAACCCTTTATTTTTTTTAATTACTTAAATTTTTCTTATTTTATACTTGGATTCTCCTTTTTGTACTGATTTCAGAAATGTATAATACATGATACTTGAAGTGATTAGTTTAGGAGAAAAGTAATTACAAAAGCAAGAAAATTAGATTGAAAAGAAATTATTTTTTAACAATTTTATTACACATATTTAGAACAAACATTTCACTACTAAAAATTTTTACAATAATTGTTCAAAATGACTGCCTTTCACTTCCATACAACAGGGACCGGGAAAAGTTTCGTTTAAAAATTATCGCACAGGTAAAGCAAAGTGTGGAGAAGCTCCAACATGTTGAAATACAACCAAATCATCGAAAAGGTTATCATCGTTTGCTACTATTGTTCTAACGATCAACCACTTGCCTATATAATTCAAGATTCGATGCATCATTTAAGTTTCCAGTGATATAGAAGGGTCCGATAATGTGATTACGTAAGATACCACACCATACGTTTAATCTTTGAGGATGCTGTGTGTGAAATTCGCGTACAATATGTGGATCAGTCTCAGCCCAGTATCGGCAATTATATCTGTTCACCAAACCGTTTAATGAGAATGAGCATTCATCCGAGAAGCAAATATTGTTTAACAATTGTGGATTGTTAATGATGCATTTTTTCATTAATTCGCAACATTCTGGACGACGATCATACTCTTCTTCATTTAACTCTTGTACTAATTTAACTTTATACGGATAAAACTTAAATTTATGGAGGACTCGGAAGGTTGTAGAAGATGAAACACCGATTGCTCTGCTTATTGTTGACAGTGACTGTGATTGTTAAGAGTCTAAGTTAACTTGCCCTAAAACAGCTACTTGTGTGTGTGTGTGTTTTGTTTTATGGCACTGGAACTAAGCCAATTGGCCAGAACAAATGTGTGAATGTTATAAGGAAAATGCTTCAGGTAAGTATTAATTTTTACATAATGCGTATCTTATATTATCTTATATTTAATGAACAACACATATTATTGTACATAATACTTAAGATTATATTAATGATTATTCTTGTAATATAGCTGTATTTTTTTTAATTATATTGTTTGCTTTTTGATTAATTTTTTTTTGTATTTTTTTTTGTTTTATTTGTTTTTTTTTGTTTGTTTTTTTTGTTTGTTTTTTTTTTGCTTTTTTCCTATCATATAATTTTGTTAGTTATCACAAAGGAGATTTAGAAGGAGTGCTAATTTGCCGAAGGGTCGTCTCGGCGGGGTTTTGTAACACGGTGGAGAGGACCCCTGGAATGGATACAAAAGAGTAGGATTTATGTTAGTGTGCTTATAATTTAAATTTACATTTAACCGTATGTTCATAAATTACCTCATATACTTGTATATCTTCAGTTGCAAGTAAGCTCGACAAGTTAAAAGGTTTGGCTATTTTTAATTTATATAGATTATTAAGTAGTGTAGAGATCTCTTGTTGAATAGACGGGCATTCTAATATAATATGTTCTAAACTACCATGTTTTCCGCATTCGCAATAATCTTCGTTATGGATACCTAAACGGTGTTTATATTCCGGATACATTGCGTGGTTACTTCTGATTCGTGAAATTGTTTTTATAAAATTTCTATTCTGTACATTAAAAAAAAAGGTTTTGTGTTTAGTTTTGGAAGCAACATTTTAAACTTTTTCCCAGGGTTGGCTTTTTCGTATTTTTCTTGCCATTTAGTTTTCATGGTTATTTTCATTTGGCTTACGTGATCGTTTAAAGGTAGCTTCATGTTAATCATCTCCCCTTCTGTAGTAGCTCTTTTTGCTAATCTATCTGCAATCTCATTATATTCTATCCCACAATGACTTTTCACCCAGTATAATGTAATTATCTTTCCATTTTTATTTAATTTTGTAAGTACTTCATATACATCTTTAATTAACTCGTCATACTGGTCGGTTATGTTAATATTTTTTATCTTTTCTAATGCACTTCTGCAGTCAGAGAATATTACTATCTTAGTGCCGGATAGGGATTGAGCATAGATTAGTGCTTTTTTAATTCCGACTATCTCTGCAGTGAATATTGACGAACCCTTAGGCAGTTTATACAGTCGCTTTATTTTTTTATTGACATGATAAAGGGCCAAACCGGTATTTCCATTAATTACAGAACCGTCAGTAAAGATGTAATCATGATTTTTCCATTTATAATCAATTTTATTAAGAAAATATCTATTTAGTATTTTTTCCGGGAGACTAGGGTAGTCATCGATTAAATTGAATACAGGGCGAAAATCGTAGTGTTTAAAAGACGTGAAGTTGTTAATAGTCAATATATTGTCCTTAATTTCTGGGTAGTTATAATAACTTTCGATCAGTAGAGGAGTTTTTTTATATTTCCAATATCGATTTGTTAAAACCTCGATAGTGAACTGATGGATTTTGTGTGTAAGGTTGTCATTTTTTGCGTATATCTTAAATAAGTTTTTATTACTTAAGAATTGTCTTCTTAACAGAAGTGGAGGTATGCAACTTTCCGCCTCCATAACAACTATGGGTGTAGATTTCAGATACCCATTACAGATTCGTAAACATTTATTTTGGATTTGATCAATCTTTTTAAGATGACATTCAGAGGCCGATCCATATAATACGCACCCATAATCGATTATTGACTGGATAAAAGATTTATAAAATAGAAGACAAATGTTAGGATCTGCCCCCCACTTACTATGGCTGAAAACTTTTATGATGTTTATAGCATTTTCAATTTTAGATGTTATATAATGAATATGAGATTTCCAGTTAAGTTTCGTATCTAGAGTAATACCTAGATACTTAATTGAAGATAAGTACGGGACTGTGTAATTTTTTAGTGTTATGGAAGACGGATGATGAAACCTCTTCCTAGTGAATGTGACAGCTGCTGACTTATTTTCTGAAATGGAAAATCCGTTATTCTTTATCCACTTTTCTAATGAATCTGAAGCTACCTCTAAGTAAAACAGCTACTTGGATTGCTTTTTTATTTACAAGTTCTTGTCGGCTATGTTTTTTATTGCAAACTGACCCAGTTCAATCACACACTTATGAGTTGCATGTCTATTGTGGTGTGTTTCATTAAAAATTCTAGCAGCAGCTCTTGCACAATTATTATTTTTGTAGTATAAACCTACACTTTCGATTCTTTCTTGCAAAGTGTACACCATTTCAGCGACCAAATTGCACACGTATCAAAATAAGCTGTTACTTACAAGTTATAACAAATTGTCGCTATTAACCGATTAAAACAAATGTAAAAATGATATCGAAAACCTTTGATAAAACTTAAATAAAAAGTGAATTTTTTTGTTTCTTGGTTTTTAAAGGTACTACAAACAGTACGGTTAAATATTTAAAGAGTTTAAATTATGCTACAACCTATTTTGTTAGAGTCAATTAAGGTGACGGAGATACTGTCTTGTTAACAGGAAAATTGTCTATCTGATAAACTAATCACTTTAAGCCATAGGTATTATACATTTTTGAAATCAGAACAAAAAGGAGAATCCAAATATAAAACAAAAAAAGGGGGAAGTAATTTAAAAAAAATAAAGGGTTGATACAGGGGGTGAGAGGGTGCATTTTTCAGCAACCTTTAATATATTATTACGTCTCCCCTTCAGATATTAATTAAAGTGTTTTTGCGTTTTTCCAAAAACTTAGAGGTTCAAAAGTTATTTAAGGTGGATAGTTTTATCTGACAAGCACTATATATTATAATAATGTTATTATTATATTAGTATTATATATATATATATATATATATATATATATATATATATAATCAAAAGGATGATAACGGGTACGAGTAATATGTAGTAAAAAGGAGATAATACCGGGAGATACCCTTTTATAATTGAGGAAGCAAAAGAAAACTAGGGTGCTTCGTTAAATGTGCTTTTTAGACATTTAATTAAAATATCACTATATAAATTTCACTATATATATATATATATATATATATATATATATATATATATATATATTAATGTTTATTCATATAATCAATATTGAGTTCAACACCAGGTGCTAAATAAAGGAAATACTAAAATTGTAGAAGAGTTTTGATTTGTCTGAATTTATGAAATTTAATGTTTGTGAATTTTTTCATAGGTTCTTATTTAATTATATACTCTAAACTAGTGATTAATAATTTTATATTGTTACAGATGAGGGCCAAAGGTTTAGGCATTATTCTTAATTGGATAAAGAAAACATTTAACGATCCAGAAATTCGAATTTTGGAGCAAGGCTTTCCAGAAGCCTCTACTGACTTATATGACAATAACAGACATAAATATATAGTGGTATGATATTTTTATTGGTGTTACACTAATAGTTCAATTATTAGATTTATTTATGAAAATAATCCGATTTTAAATCTAAAAATTGACATTTGCGTATAACTGTGGCTGATTTACATTTACTTACTTACTCCTAGCATATTTACAACTCGGTATGACTTCCTGTAAATCCAAAAACCACAATAAACCTTTCTACTTTTGATCGTCTTCTTATTGCGCCGTCTCCTTTTAAAGGTTGGCGATCCAAATGACAATTGTAGCTTTGGGAACTGCTGCATAAATGGTTTACGTGGATGAGCGGTCAAACCATCTCCTCAGGTCTTTCAGCCAGGAGTTCTGGCTTCTTAAAACTACATTGAGTAATTGTTTCTGTTTACTCGTGTGCCGAAGTATCTAACCGTTGGTAAATTTTTGTAGGTATCCATGGAATTCTCAACACCCGTCTCGATATAAAAATTTAAAAGGCGTCTATTCTTTTTTCTGTTTCAGAGTCCATTATCCAACGTTCACAGCAATACAGCAAAACAGAGAAAACGTAACATCTCATTATTCGAATTATGAGCTCTAGACTAAGGTCTGATCTGGTAAAAAATGTTTCATGTTCATAATTGTTTTCCTCGCTTGTTTGATTCTTGATATGATATTTTTGGGTTACACTGGCTGTTGATTTTTGTTCCCAAATATTCTATGGAAGTTACGTGTTCTATTATTTGTCCCTTGGCATACAAATATACATTTGTTGATAGCTTTCAAAATACTAGAATTTTACTTTTGTAAACATTATATGCAAACAAAACATTTTGCTATGCCTAACATTTATTATATTTTGTAGTTCTTGTGCGTCGCTTGCTATTAGGCCAGTATCATCAGCGTACCTGATGTTGTCTATGCTGATTCCGTTAATTTTGACACTACCTTTAAACTCGTCTAATGCTTTTCTGAATATAGATTTCGAATATAGATTAATAATAGCGGTAATAAGACGCAACCTTGTCGCACTCTTTGTCGGATTTGTATATCTTCGGATGTTGTGTGCTCTTTTTTAATTGTTGCCGTTTGTTGCCAATATAGTTCTGAGATAATTCGCAAGTCTTGTTTGTCAATTCCAGTTGTTCTCAGCATACTCTCTACAGTTATATCTCTACATCGTTGTGTTAATACATTTAATGCAAAAATAGTTTCTCGTGATCCCAATCGAAATCCAAATCAACTGCCACTCATCTGAAACTTACACTTCTTATAAATTTGTATATGAATGATTCTGAAAAAAGTTTTAACGACATGAGACATCACGCTTAATCTTCGATGGTCATCGCAGTGTGAGACATTGGATTTTTTTGGTAATGCCACGAATGTTGATTTTTGTTTTCAAAATCAAAGTTATATTTTATTTCATAAATATTATGAAGACCATACAAATATAAAGATATAAAATACAATATAGTGGTACAGTTACGAATTAGTGGTGAATTATTACAATTAATAATGGATTTTACAAGTCCCGGTCCCGATTTTTTATGTAAAGAACATAAGTGTTCATTCTTTTTGTCAGTTAAGAAACTCCGCTGACAGTAAAAATACCAAGCTTAAAAGCGGATGCTAACCAAAACATTGTTTTTTAGTATGCATAATTATGTCATCTGTTCTAAAATACTTTCTAAATATATTTAAATAATAATAGACCTATATACCTCTCTAATAGTTTCTGGTGATAATAATGGACCACTGTTCTTTCTTTTCTCGCTCAAAATATTCAAATAAATTTGCAAATAATAATTGCTTGCAATGGCTGGTCAAATGTGACGCCATTTTTGTTTTAATACAATTCAATTAAAACATCCAAGAATTATATATATATATATATATATATATATATATATATATATATATATATATATATATATATATATATATATATATATATATATAACAAGCGAGTCTTCTACAGCTGGCGCCGCTCCTCGCATCCTAATTTCCAGCGTTTTCTATCGAAGCAATCTTCAGTTTTTAGATCTCTGGCGGTCATTGCATCGTCGACATCGTCTCTCCAGGATTGTCTTGGTCTACCTCGTTTTCTTCTAGTTGGCGGAGTCCATTCTTCTATTTTTTTTGGCCATCTGTTTTCCGGCATTCTCTGAAGGTGTCCATACCAGTTAAGTCTTTTGGTTTCGATTGTGTCTATTATGTCTAAATCGATTTCCGTTTCTCTCCGAATATCTTCGTTTGTTACCCTATCAAGTCTAGTGAGCTGGCAACATCGTCTCCAGTAGTTCATTTCCATGGCCTTAATTTTTGATTTGTTTCTTTGGTTTATTTCCCAGAGTTCGGCGCCGCACAGTCCAATACTTTCTATTATTGTTTTATAAATTCTTCTTTTATTCACTTTTGTTATTTTTTATTCCATAATAGTCCTTGTAGCTGTCTGGTGGCTGGCCAATCCTGGAATGTATTTCTTCGCTACTTCCTGCTTTTGATGTTATTTGGACTCACAAGTACTTAAAATTGTCTGTTGGTTTTATTGTTCCCAGTTCGATTTGTAGGCTTTCTGGTTTTTCTCCTACAACTAAGTACTCAGTTTTTTGTATATTAATTGTGAGGCCCCATTTGGTGTACTCATCTTCCAGTTTTCTAAGCATGTAGCTTATATCACTCTCGTCTTCAGCTAGAATGGCTTGGTCGTCAGCGAAGTGTATCGTGTACAATCTATCATCTTCGATTGGGATGCCCATATTGCAGCAATTTCTTCTCCACAGTGAGAGTGCCTCATTTAGATATATTTTGAAGAGTGTAGGTGCTATGCAGTAGCCTTGCTTTAGGCCTTACTAATAGAAATTTCTCTAGTTAATCTGTTTTTAGTTTTAATGTTTGCCGTCATATTTTTGTAGAGCTGTTGTACTGCTTGTATCTTTTTTTGCTTATTCCTTGTTTTTTTCATTGCTACCCAAAGCATTGAAAGTGGTATACTATCGTATGCCTTTGTCAGATCTATAAATCAATATAAGGTTGAATGTTCGAATAAATGAACTTTGATGGTACACAAGGCAAATATCGAACACAGTATTTAATCAAATCTTGCCCAAGTACTTTCGATCACAAGATCATCTTCAGGGGCATCTGAAATAAGCCAAGAAACGTTTTTTAAAAAAGGAAAATTAATTCACTTGGATAAAAACTCCAAGTTTATAGTTGAAAAAAGTTTTTTTATGTGATTAACGTTTATAGACTTACTTCGTCAGTTGTGGCCTATCCAGCAGTAACAGAATGTCATAAATGTAAATTGGGACATAACAAATACACTAAACAAAGACAAATATACTATATAAACTGAAAAAAGAAAAAGTGTACCATCAAAGATCTATAAAGACTATATGAGTTGAAAGGTTATGGGCTAATCTTTTCTCGATAATTTGCTTTAGTGAGAATATACTGTCCATGCAGGACCTGCCTGTATGGACAGGCAGGTCTGGCATCCAAGAATTTGAATTAAAATCACTGAGAAACTAAAGTAACAGCATTTGGTATGTAGACAGTTTATATTTAAACAAACTTCACAACTATTAACACAAATCTTACATAACCTTTTATAGAATTCCATGGGTTTGACAGTTATAGTACAGATAGTTATCTTTGTTTCACACTCTTTAACGAGAAAACCGTGTAGCTGGTAGCTGATGTAGTAAATACATTTATGTTTTTTATTTGGCAACAGTGCTTTCCTTCACAACGAAACTTGCAACGAAACTTCACAGTAACGAAAAAAATTAATATTATGATGAAAAATTTGTTGAATTTGGTTTCTGTCAAGTATGTACCAGCGGGTTATGATGTCATTAATTCGACAAGGGGATCTCCCTGGCGCAGCCCGTTATTTGTTTTATAAGATTCAAATAGTTCCCTCTGGATTCTGATGGACAGAATGTAAATATGATGGATACAGTATCTAGTACAGGAAATATCACATAAGACTCTCAGCATAGACATGGAGTAAATATCCTTATAAAAAGTTCCCTTTCAAATTACATTACAAACTGAATAACTATATCGGAGAGAATAATTATGTTACAGAAAGAAATCAAGCCGATTAATATAAATAGAAGTCAGATTAACCGAACAGAGAAATCAAGCACTTTTACAAAGGATTGCGAAATATTACCAACAGTATAACGCCAAAAAAAATTTATATAAATCTCGTCGACTGTAATGCCAGAATACGAAAAGGAGTGGCAGACGATGTAGGTATTTTGGTCGAAACAAAGAAGGAGCTAGGACATATTATGTCACACAGTTCTTTCAGGAAGAACTAGTGATGTCATTAAAAACACTTACTACGATCTGACACCCAGAAAGTTATATACATGTAAATCCCTGCAAAACAATGAGAAACATATAGCTAGGCATTAAATTAATTTTATCATAGTCAACAAAAGAAAGAACAGTTTTAAAAGAGTAAATCACTAATTGGAATTTTCAGGTTCAGAGGTGAAATGACTTCTAAACTGCCTAAATATGTGGATTAATTTAAGTAAATATGAGGAAGTCCTCATAAAACGACACTGGCAAAAAACAAAGAAAAAATGGGTCACAAATAAAATTCTAGACATGATGGAAACAAGAAGAATTGTAAAAAGAAATGAAGAAAACAATATAACTATTAAGGCCGTTCCTTGCGTTTCTGGGCATACCTAAGTTCCAATGTAAAAGTTTATATCAAATAACGCAAAAACTATGGCAGATATTGAGATGATTCTTTTTTTATATGAAAGGTCTTAAAAAGTTCTAGTGCACTATTTAGTTGTAAATTAATAAATTGTTTAAACAATATTTTTTTTCAAATATTTTTGGTTAAAATAAACGTAAAAAATTTTTTTTTGAAATAGGGCACTACAGAATTTGACCCACTTTCCGAATCTGTTTTTATTTTTAACATAAAGTGTAACACAAAGCAGCTATTTGGTATAAACTTTTTTTAAAATCTCAAATTTTGCTAAATGTAACTTTCTCTC